GTCATGTGGCGTCACAGCTCACAGCAACCTCAAACTCCTGGGCTTAAGCAATTCTCTTGCCTTAGCCTCCCAAGTAGCTGGGACAACAGGTGCCCACCACAACGCCTGGCATTTTTTTTTTGTAGTTGTCATTGTTTTGGCAGGCCCCGGCTGGGTTCAAACCTTCCACCTCTGGTGTATGGGGCCTGCGCCCTGGCCGCTGAACTACCGGCAACCAAGCCAGGAGTGTGATTTTCTTATTTGCCTAAGCCAGAGGTACCCAATGTTTTGGCTTCTCTGTGCCACATTGGAATTAGCATTGTCTTGAGTCACACATTAAATACACAAACACTGACAAAAGCTGATAAGCAAAAAAAATGGTCTGCACATAATTTTTGTGATATCTGCCACCACAGATAAGCAAATGTTCTCACATGATAAGCCTAATTATGCAGCAGCCATTCCGAAGTAGCTGGGACTACAGGCATCTGCCACAACGCCCGGCTATTTTTTTGTTGCAATTTGGCCAGGGCCAGGTTTGAGCCCGCCACCCTCAGTATATGGGGCCCGTGCCCCACCCACTGAGCCACAGGCACCACCTTGATTTAACTCTTAATGTGCTTCATTTTTTTTTTTTTTTTGGTTTTTGAGACAGAGTTTCACCTTGTCACCCTCGGTAGAGTGCCATTGTGTCATAGCTCACCACAAACTCAAACTGTTGAGCTCAAGGGATTCTCTTGCCTTAGCCTCCCAAGTAGCTGGGCCTATAGGCAGCCACCGCAACACCTGGCTATTTTTGTAGTTGGAGTCTTGCTCTTATTCAGGCTGGTCTCAAACTCCTGAGCTCAAGCAATCTGGCTACCTCAGCCTCCCAAATGCTGGGGTTACAAGTGTGAGCCACTGCGCCTGGCCTATGTGCTTCATTCTTGAAAATAGTTGCTCACAAATGTAGGTGCTGCTAAAAAGTGATGACACAAATAAGGTGTGATTGTGAAGTAAGGGATATTTGTCTCTGGGAAGATAGGACCTCTAAAAGTTTAGTAAAGATTCATGATCAAATTTTTCTTCAAGTTGAATGTCAGATTGCAGCTCTATGCATCCCATTTGAAAATTGGCAGGTAACCAACCTATTTATGTAGACTGAAATGGATTTGCAAATGCACCAAAATATTGATTATTTTCCCAGAAATCTTGAAATCAGTTTTCAAATTCTTGTATTAAAAAGCAAGGCTGCATATTCTCCCCTGTTCTCGTGACTGTGTTGAGCCAATGTGTTGAAATGCATAAAGTTGTTTGCCTTAATTTGGGCTTGCCATAATTCCAGTTTCATTTAGAACACTGTTATGATTTGAAACACTGTATTGATAAGTTGATTTTTACCTTGACGACATGTTTTACTCATTTAAATGAGCAGTTAAACCACTACAAATGCTAAATCTATAAGCCAGTTTTCATCATCAAGTTCTGGCACAAATTTGGTTTTTGATACGGACAGAATAACATCCATTTGATTTAAATGCGAATCTCAGCTGGGTGCTATGGCTCATGCCTCTAATCCTAGTAGTTTGGGAGGCAAAAGGATCTCTCGAGGCCAGGAGTTCAACACCAACCTAGGGCAGTGCCTATAGCTCAGTCAGCTAGGAAGCCAGCCACATATACCTAGAATGGCAGGTTTGAACCTGGCCCGGGTCTGCTAAGCAACAATAACTGCAACCAAAAAATAGCCAGGTGTTGTGGCAGGCACCTGTAGTCCCAGCTACTTGGGAGGCTGAGGCAAGAGAATC